CGGGACGTACTCCTTGTGGACGGGCATCGGCACGTACTCCTTCTCGTAGTGCACGTCCTTCTCCTCGCCCTTCTCGTGCAACAGCGACGCCTTCTTGTGGCCCAACAGACTGCCGAGGATGAGTCCTGCGGGACAGGGAGGCCGTGGGTTGTCGTCGAGTAAGACTGGACTTACCTTTGAGGAAGGATTTGGCCGAAGAGCAGAAGACGAAAGTGAGAGAAAAGACGAGAAGAATGCGAACGACTTTTAGGGCAAACATTTGTGAAGCGATTGAACAGAACTTTCGACAAATAAAAGTGAAATCATTTTCGACGCGAATTAAAATAGATTTGAAACACATTTATTGACTCATTAGAGGAAAGGCGGTTCTCTTCTTAATTATAATAATTTTGTCGATCCATTAGCAGAGGCTATGATTAAAAAGATTTCGTTAATTCCTTAATTAAGGCTTTCGACGAGTTTATTGACTCTTTGGGTTATAAACGGAAACTTCGGACGAAACGCCTTTCCAACGGTCGGCTGACTGTCGGGTGTTGTCCTCCACTCAAGTGAATCGCGTTTATATATAAATCCAGAGATAACTCGCTTTCTCTGACAAACGCTCGCAATGTTCGGCCGAAAGCTCCTCTTATTGGCGGCACTTCTCGTCCTGTGGACGGCTTTGGTGGCGGCGATGGGCGACAAGAAATTCCTCAAAGGCCTCATATTCGGCATTCTGTTGGCGCGCAACCAAATGGGCGGCGGTGGCGGCGGCTACGGGGGCAACGCGATGCCCATTCCCATCCCGTGAGTCTTTCCCGCTTTGTCTCTCTCTTTCTTTACTGACGGCCTGTTTGTTGTTGTCTTTCAGTTACCCCTCTTATCACATGCATTGAATCCAGCGCTGAATGCACTCATATTTTGTGCCAATTTTGTGTATTTGACGCAAAAATGTTTGAATCCTATCTCTAATAGACTTAATTGAATAGAAACTCAATTTGAAGATTAAAACTCTTGTCGTTTTCCTTCTCTATAATTGAATTACATTTGAATTATTGTATTAATCGTCCAATAATTCAATTTCAGGCCTTTTGTAGACAAAGACCTCTGGAGTGTCTATAACTCGTCAAAAGCGATGGCAAACCAGATCTGATCTCAACAGTAATCGCATTCAGTTTTGAATTTCTTTTATTTCTTTTCTAAAGATTTCTCTCAAAATACATCAAATTTATTCGAAATCAATTGAAATCTATTGAATTAAGTCTCAATTTTATTCAAATTTTGTAAATAATATATAAATATTTGTATCACTTTTGCTATATTCGGTTATACGCTATGTTAAGGCTATTTTGATGATTTAATGCAACAAATGAATAAAATCTGTCTGAAAAACAAGTGTTTAATCATTAAAAGGGCACTTCTTTGAAGAGAGAGCCAATGCTTTCTCGATTGTGATTACGTCTTATGGCTTCGGCCGTGAAATGTGAGATCTAGTCATCAAAAGAGTCACAAAACAAGTATTGGTCACAAATGGAGCCGATTTTCAATGACTTTATTAACGAAATTCTCGTATTTCTTACTTTGCTTCTAATTATAACAAAATGCAAATTCATTCAAGTTTTCAATTTAGAGTCAAAATAAGCAGAAAATCAATACAAATGTACTTTTCATGCGTTAACTATTTGTACGTTTTTAATAATTAAAACAATGATTAGTCGAAAGGAATGTCTGAATAATTGGCACAAAATAAAGCAAAAGTCGCGAAGTGTTTGCCATTCAGTGTTACAAAAGGCCAACAAAAGAGCCAATCAATGACTACATCGGAACGTTTGAGAAGAGATACGAAACGCTTTCGCCGTTATGTGTGCGACGAATCGCTTCCGCGAGAATCATACTTACGTCGATGCACTGCAAGAGGGCAAAGGGGTTAGTGTTGGACACGTGACACACCCGACGCTCACCTGAATCTTGTGACAGTCGCGCATATTCTTCTCCTGCGGGATTGTGTTCGTCACGACCAGCGCCTCGAGCGCCGCCTTCGAGATGCGTTCACACGCGGGACCGCTGAAGATGCCGTGCGTGAGGATGGCGTACACCTTGGAAGCGCCCGCCTCCGACAGCTTCTGCGCCGCGTGACAGATGGTGCCGCACGTGTCGGCCATGTCGTCGACGAGAATGGCGACGCGATCGCGCACTTCGCCCACGAGAACCATTGACGCGACTTCGTTGGCCTTTTTGCGCTCCTTATGGATGAGCGCGAAGTCCACGTTCAG